GCCCAGTCACCGGACCCAGGAGGAAATCGATGGACGGCTGGCATAATACAGACCGGGATTGCTGGCGGTGCCGGCAGTGGCCGCCGCCTCTTTGTCGCGTCACGTACAGCCACAATTATATTGTGCGCTCCCCTGCGCGGTGCAATAGGGGTAAATGAGGGGTAGGGAACAAGAGGGGCGGGCATGGCGCGTCGCACATTACGAAAATTCAGAACGCAGAGTCTTTCCGATGAGGTGCGTAGCGATCAGCGCACATGGATTGGCTTGCACTGCAGCCAAGGCTGAGCCAGACGAGTGCTGATTTGTCGGGAGCTCCGCCTGCAGCATCACCGCCGTTGTCGAGCCCGTGGGAAGGGTTCGTGGACGACAGCACGGTTCTGGGCGTCGTTTGAGTCCGGCCAGCGGCCCGACGCCCTTGGCACACGTGCCACCTCTGCGCGCGTTCGCACGCCTAGGGAGAGCTGGCTCACAACGACGCGGACGCCACGGGACCCACGAGCCCTGTCGCAGAGATGAGAGGCGAAAACAAAAGTCGAGTGCCGCATTCGTTCGAAGAGAGAGGCACGTTGTGGCAAAAAACACCTCCGAATTTCACGCGAAAACTTGGGTCTAACCATGGGCGGGCTACTTGCAATGATTCACGTTGCTGCACTTGGCAAGTTTGTACTTATAGTTGTTTTCTACCGCTTTCTTCGCCTCGATAAGCTTCACACTAGTGATATGATGAGGCTGTGGTTCGTACAGGCATGAGCGTGCGGGGACCGTGAGTGTTGACAGGGAATAAAGTTTCATTCAAATAGTTGCAAAAGTTGACAGTCCGCCTTTAAAGCATTTTGTCTAAATAGTGTGTCTTTTAGCGCCACCATCCATCATCTATGATGCACGGTGTTACTTGCTGAACTACATTTAGATTCTCATATGTTGTAATTAATTTTCGTAATTATTCCCCACATTATAGCAGCCTGGAAGCTAATATGAGGTTTTTGTCAGCCTGGTGATGCCAATCTGCCTGAAAGTCCGTTTCTGATGCCGAGGTCAGTTTGACCTCTTGGGGACTCTGAACACGTTTGCATCCATCAAACACAACGTATTCAAGACTGATGTATATTGTATCCTTATGGAGTGAAGTGCTTGCTGAAATCAGGAAGGCACGCGGTATTCGATAATCTATATTATAATGTTGGTAACGATCGTCCGTCTGCGCGAAAAAAAAATACACAAGTGCGGCAACTGCTCGGCCCGTTTGCGAGTTGGTCATGTGACATTCACAGCGCCGTGAGACCAGCTGGGCGGCATAACTGCGTCAAATTTGAGACTGGAGGCGGCCGGAGGAGCGTGCAAACGCGCCTCATTGGTCGTAACACGGGCAACACGACATTCGCAAGTTGTCAAAAGTCGCTCGTAGGCGCGTCAAGGCCCGAAACACGGTTCGTAGCTCGGTAAGGAAGGGGAGTGGGGGCCGGGGATGTTTAGCGGAACGGGATCAATGCACTTTGACTTGGAAAACGACGGGCCATTGCTTACGCAAAAGTACGAATGAATGCAAACAGCTGAGCACGCGCGCGCTGAGTACACAAACAACAGATTTGCGGTTTTAGAAGTTTTACAGGATTGATGTCAGACCTCGGCGGCTCGAGCAGAAAATGGCGTAAGGTCGGCTGCGTCTTGCCTGCACGGTCCATTACCATCAGCAAATACTTTACTATCAGCAAGTCACTCAGGCAGCCCAACACTGCCAGACCCACGATGACGCCAGTAATCAATTTACCAACTGACTGACCAATTAGCTGTGAACATGACAGACGATGGAGTGTTTCCAGAAGGTGGGAACGTCGGAGTTCGATTAGCAGGAGTTGACTAAATGTCAAGAATGCCGTCGCCATGGCGCCAAAGCTCAGACCTTGCAAACAGACGTCATCCAAACCACAAGTGACAATTCGCCTATCCGGCAAAATATTTGCGGAGCTCGGCGAATGTCAGGGGGTGTGAGTGAAGGTACAGGTGTAAGCGTAAAGGTAAGCCCATGTCACCTCTAAGCTTTGATGCTATCCTATCATCATCTCCTGTTCTCAATTCAGCACGGTTTCCGTCTTCGTCACGCGACGAAAACCACACCGGCGTCCCACGAAAACCACACTCGATCATATCCTACCGGCCAAAGACCGTGCGGAATTATTGTTCCCGTACTTATTGGACGTGAGAAAATGTTTTGACATGATTGACCATTAAAACCCCTGACTTCATTACCCCTGCATGGGATCGCCATTCCATGGCTCTTAGCTTTCCTTTCTGATCTTTCTCAGTCGCTGAGTAGGATCAGGGTTAGTGTCACTGAAGCCCTGCGTCACACTAAATTTTGCTCAAGAACTGCCAAGCAAGATGAGGCTTTTCAGGTATCCACCCTGGGAGCACTGCTTTATTGCACATTTGTAAATGATCTCAGCCTTTTCGCAGAGGGAGAAGCGGTGGTCCAGCATGCAGACGACATCGATATTTTGATCAGCGGTAAAGAATGATTCCAGCGTCGTTGATAAAAAGGAATACACACTGGCTTCTCTTGATCTCCGGTTCCCGGCTAACGATCTTGAAGTAAATGTAAGCAAAACTCACTTCATGTTGTTAGGCAGCCGCCCCAAGTTGCCTAACGTTCCAAAATTTAATGGTAAATTTCGTGGCCATGACGTTCACCATTGCTCCGAGGAAAAATTTTTAAGGCTGCTTTTCGATAATATTCTCACATGGAAACCCACATATAGATTGTCATGAAGCGCTGTTGTGGAGCTTTGCCTGGTCTGCCATATTTAAAACGGTTGCTGTTCTCTGCGATCTAACACGCTTGTCAGCATCCTGGTCCTTTCGCAACTCCGTTAGCGCATCTCTGTTTAAGGAAATGATGCCCGATATATATATATATATATATATATATATATATATATATATATATATGTATATAGACTGAAAAAGGCACCAACTTCTCAGGGAAAGTCACATTTGACCGCACAAAGCTTGATCACGTGACGGAGCTGCTTGAGGAGCTTGGCTGCCTCATTGCTTTACGACTGGTGCTCTACCACGCCCTCATGCTGGCGCTCAAAGCGCTTCGTCTCGGCGACCCCGAGACGATCGCCTGCGAGGTCTTGACGGCGTCCGAGACTCGCAAGTGAATTACGAGGCAGCGCGGCAGCCTCCATGTGACGAGGTCGCGAATCGAGGTGCGAGAGCGGCTCTGCCACCGATGCTGAGGCAGTTCCCGCTGCACCGCCACCGGTGCTGAGGCAGCTCCGCTGCACCGCCATCGGAGCTGAGTCAGCTCCCTCTCCACTGCCACCGGAGCTGAGTCAGTTCCCGCTGCACCGCCATCAGAGCTAAGGCAGCTCCCGCTCCACTGCCACCGGAGCTGAAGCAGCTCCCGCTCCACTGCCATCGGAGCTGAAGTAGATCCTGCTCCACTGTCATCGGAGTTGAGGCAGCTCCCGCTGCACCGCCATCAGAGCTGAGGCAGCTCCCGCTCCATTGCCATCGGAGCTGAAGTAGCTCCCGCTCCACTGCCACCGGAGCTGAAGCAGCTCCCGTTCCACCGCTATCGGAGCTGAAGCAGCTCCCGTTCCACTGCTATCGGAACTGAGGTAGCTCCCGCTCCACTGCCATCGGAGCTGAAGCGACTCCCTCCCCACAGCCATCGGAGCTGAGGCAGCTCAGGCTGTGTCGCTATCGGAGCTGAGTCAGCTCCCGCTGCACTGTCATCAGAGCTGGGGCAGCTCCCGCTCGACTGCCACCGGAGCTGGGGCAGCTCCGCTGCACTTCCGTCGGTGCTTGAGTCAGCTCCCGCTGCACTGCCACCGGAGTTGGGGCAGCTCCGCTGCAACGCCACTAGAGCTGGGGCAGCTCCGCTGCACCGCCACCGGTGCTAAGGCAGCTCCCGATACCTGCCTTCAAACGGACTTTATAGCGCAACACTGAGCGCCGTCTGAAGCGAATCCTGCCGCCACATGAAGCATGATCCTGCGATAGCCTATGCCGTGCAAGATATTCATGCTTTTATGAAAGCCGGTTAGGTGAGGATATAACATGTTTGCATTTGTATGCATGTGTCTCTACCATTCACCTGTCATTCTACGTCGCATTTCGTCTTTATACGATGGGCCAGAAAATTCAAGTGTGCCTAATGAAACACTCTCATATACGTATATTCTTCTATGCCTAATGTCTGACTGGGAAGTGACCAGTATCACGTTTTTCGAAGACAAACTCAAATAAAACACGCTGTTGGGTCAGTTGAGCAGCCCGAGACCAATGCATTGACACAGATGCAAAGCCCAGGTCACGGTCGCCAATATCGAACTCAGATCGATGCACATTTCATAGCACTTCGCAATCGCCCCAAACCGTCCTCTATAGCCGTTTTTGCCTGCGCAAAATATGGTGTTCATTTGCAGTAGATTGCGTACTGACATTGAAGTCACGAGCTTCCACTCCTCGGCGCGTCTGATATGCCGTCGTGGCATTGGGTATGCGGCAGCCGATTGTCGTAGTTTAGCGGGATGAAAACCATTGGGCTGGGACAATAGAATGTGATTGCATTGGCGCCATTTCCGTTTCTGTGAGAGGCTGGCCACGCACTGCCGGGCGCAATCGGATTCGTTAACCCTTTCGCATGTCGTGTGCATCATATACCAACGCGTTGAATATGTGGCGGATAGTGGATGTGTAGCATATGTAGGATGTGAGGGATCTTCGCCCAATCGCCAATTTAGTACTAGCAATTCTTTTTTCACGAGAAGTGCGTGGGTCAAGGACGGCTCTGTTCCCAGGCCTACGAAACACGGCGTTCTGCTGTCTAAGGCTGATGTCCTGGCGCGTTATCATATCTTGTCAGCTCCCTTTGTTGAAACAGCTCGCCTCTGATTTCTTGTAATCACACTCTCAAGTGAGCTGGGCAGATACGTCATCAGGGCGCCGATAAGAGGACGGTCGTAGCCAGTCAGCCAGCGACACATCCTGCCAAGTCACGTCAGTCGACGGTGTGGCGAGCAGGCCGTCCTCGTCTTCTGCGACGGTGAGCCGCGTGGCAGCGGCACCTCCGACCATGGCGCTGCGTCTCCGCCTGCTCCTGCTGGCATCCGCGCTGGTGGGAGTCGGCCTGGCCGCCCCCGGCGACCTGCTGGAGCTGCGTCGAGAGCTGCCGGACCTTTCCTGGGCTCGTCTCGCCGGCCTGCAGAAGCTGGCGGAGAGCAGCCGGCACCTCCCCACCACTGAGGAGTTCCTGCGGCAGACGGGCGCGCTCGAGCTGTATGAAGCCCTGCCGGAGCAGCTGCGGACGGAGCAGGCGCTGCCGGCCGATATCGCCAACCTGCTGATTGCCCTGCTCGTCGGGCCCTACATCACGCCCATGCTGGCACACGGAATCTCGCCGCTCTGTCTGAACCACAGCTGGGCGTACGCCACCAGCATCCTCTCCAACAACTCCTGGGCGCTGACGATGTTCGACGCGGATGGAAAGCTTCCCGACGGCGTACTGGGCGGCAACCTCAACTACGTGGGCAACTGGGACGAGTGTTTAAGTGTTCAGGCGAGTGTCGACAATGTTGACGAACTCATTCCGCTGAAAGTAAGCCAATTTCAGGGCAAGCACTGTCGGCCCCAGTTTCACCTTCCCCCTAAAGCAGCTGGGAATCAGGATAGCCGGTTTGGCCACCATGCCAATGAAATGGCTAGAATGGTGGGGTTGGAGCCGATACTTCCACCACTTATTCAACTTTCGGGCCAGTCGACTGTCATGCCGCCATCCGCTTCCATTGGACTCTGCATCCCTTCATCTTGCTCTGCCGAAGACTTGAGACTAAGCCTTCAGCAAAGAATGCCCAGCCTGCAAGTCGACCTTCTTGAAACTGACTGTCATGTAGAGGGTGAGACAACTAAATTCAGCGCGGCCGATATCGTCATGCTGTGCATCATTTGTGTCACCGGCTTGCTCATGGCTGTCGGCACCTTTATCGATGTTATCAAGGACAGTGCCAACGAGCCCGACGCCAATTTGAGCGTCCCCGTTGATCGCATGTTCAGGGGGAAAATGCCAACCACTGTCCAGAAGGTGCTTCTGGCGTTTTCGGTCTGGACAAATGGCAGAAAGATTTTAGACACGTCTTCGTCGAGCGATACGTTGGGATGTCTCCATGGCATGCGTTTTCTCTCCATGACCTGGGTTATCCTTGGTCATCAATACATTTTTGGATTATTTTCCGTACCGTGGGTAAATCAATTTTCAGCCTTCAACGTACTTAATTCTGTGGCATTTGCTGCCGTTGACAACGCTACTGTCTCGGTCGATTCGTTTTTCTTCCTCAGCGGGCTTCTCGTTGCATACGTCTTCATGAGAAACATGGAGAAAACCAAGGGGAAGTTTAACATTATCATGTATTACGTTCACCGATACATTCGGCTAACGCCAGTCCTGGCAATGACCATAGGCTTCGTCGCAACTCTCTACGTACACCTGGGTGACGGTCCATTCTGGGGGAAGAACACCGTGTTCGGAAACCCATACATTTGTAGCAAGTACTGGTGGAAAAACCTTGCGTACATCAACAATGTGTACGAATCCGAAAAGACGTGCCTGGGTCAGACGTGGTACCTTGCCAATGACATGCAGATGTTTGTCTTGTCACCCATCGTCCTGTTGCCGCTGTACTTTTACCCGACCATCGGTCAAATCTGGCTCATATTGCTTCTCGGGCTTAACCTGTTCATCACCGGCTACGTCACCGACTACAACGACCTGGGCCCGAGCGGAGGCGACTCGTCGTTACGCTACTTCGTGCCCTGGTGTCGGTACGGCGTGTACCTGGTGGGCGTGTACACCGGCTGGTTCCTGCACCGGCGCCGTGGCAGACGACTGCACATGACGTTGCCTGTTGCGCTGGCCGGCTGGCTGGTCGCAGCGCTCACCGCCTGCCTCGTCGTCTACGGTCTGTACGATTACTCGACCGTGCCGCCGCTCGCGGTGCCGTCCAAGACCGCGTCTATCGTGTACGCTGCCCTGAATCGGCCCGCCTGGGGCATGTGCCTGGCGTGGGTGGTGATCGCCTGTGTCCACGGGTACGGCGGCTTCATCAACACGCTGCTCTCCTGGAAGTTCTGGATTCCGCTCAGCCGCGTCACGTACTGCTGCTACCTCGTCTCCATCGACATCCAGATCTTCTTCTACGCGACGCTCAAGTCGGTGCTGTACTTCGACCAGACAACGGCGGTGTATGCCTTCCTGGCGACGCTCACCGTGTCGATTGCCGTCGCCACCGTGTTCTCGCTCGCGTTCGAGGCGCCGATGATGGCCTTGGAGAAGATCATCTTCGCCAACGTCGGTGCCGTGGCTCCCAAACCGACGGTCCCACCCGCGCCCGGGCAGGAGCCAGACGGGAACGGCAAGCAGGCGTGATGTATGTAGATCGTCGTCATAGGTCGGCAGCATGCATGCCAAATAAAAGTGTGCCTCCAATGGGTTCCGCATTGATTGAGGGTGGAATGATGTATGCCTCAAAAGGTGTGTACCGCACCTGTTATCTGATAGCACGCGTTGCGAAACGTGACGAATTTACACCTGCCGAGACATATTCGATTGTGAAATCACGATAGCCTGCTCAAACACGCCAGGTAAGGCGGGCAGTCAGATTGCTTTCTGGCGTGCTGATCAAGTACTCTTCAACGGTGGTATCATTCTGGAAGCGCCTACGAAATGTTGCCCAGTCTTTTCCCACGGGAAGGCTCGGGCACCGTGCTCTCCTGGGGTGTCATGACCAGAGGCAAACCTCCGCGCACCGTTATCGGTTTGGGACAAAAATCAAAACCCACGTCCCCGGTCGAAATTGAAGCCCACAGACACTCCGAGCAGCGAGCACAAGAACAATCCCCGAGAAACGAACTCAAAGTCAGACCGATGTCTGAGTAGCGAGCGCCATTCAGTGCAGTGTTTGGCGGCTGCAGTTGCAATATTGACTGTTCTTGCATACACAACTTTCAGAATAAAGAACCTAAAGATGAAACGTCCTCCAAAATGTATGATCTGTTTGACAGTTCTATTCGTTTGTCTGCCCAACTGTTTGCCAAACTGTTTGTCACTAGTCAGTGTCGACTGCATATGTACATTCTGACTTATCAGTGCTGGACTTTGAATTCCTCGCTATCTTCTCGACGCACTTTTTTATACACAGGCGATGTACTTTGCTCCACTATGATGGAGATGAGGCCCGTTCATGCCTTGCGGACTACCCACAGAGCTCACTGCGGATTCTGCAGTTGTCAGCTGCCGCAAACTCAAGATGTCACATTTAAGCCTCCCCGGCCGCGAGGCGTGGGTGCGCAGAATCCGAAGCCTGCAAAATTCCCAGCAGCTTCCGCGGTCGTCAGATGACACGCATTTGAGCTATCACATTTGAGCCACAATTATCTGCGGTTAGCTAGCCAGCGGGCTTAGGAGTGTCACGTTTAGCAGGCAGTACAGCTAGACATGATACCCTACAACCACCCAGAAGCATGCATCACGATACCCGTGCATGCCTGTTTTTAAAAGATGTATTTTGCACGTTGCACTCCGTCAACTTTTTTGCTGGGCGTGTTTATCCAAACCTGTTTATGTGTAGAATGTTTTCTCTTTACTCCGTCGTAGCCAGGCCAAACATGGCAAAATAGTTATTGTTATTCTAAAGGAAAACGTGTGTGACAGCGTATTCATCTGCTCTCGGCGTATGTCTTTTGCCCAGGCCAAGCGGCTCCGAGCTTTTGCGCGAAGCTGTCACAAGATCCGGCTTCACCGGCGGTGGCTGGCGGTGTGACGTCATGACTTCTAGCACCGTCAGCGCGTGACGAGTGACATGAACTCGCAAAACTCTCACAGGTTGAATACCCTAGAACCACCCAGAAGCATGCATCATGAGCATGGCGACAGGAGGTTGCCAACATGGGCGACAGGAGGTCGCCAACATGGGCGACATCAGGTTGCCGCCGGTCGGTGGGTGGCCGACCGTGCGTGCAGTCGTGGCGCCATATTTCGAGAACGGCTGTCAGAATGACATGAACTTTGCACGCTTTAATGACGAATTGCACATGAAATCGGGTGTAATATGTTTTCGGTGCCACGCGGTGCATGCACCATGCATGTGAGCTGGAAATATGAAATAGGCAGTTTTTGACGGATTTTGAGTTTTGACTCACATTTTGACAATCAGTTAAGATAGAAGCGTGAAATTAATTATACATCACTTTCAAGTGTATCGGCTTCAATTACACTGTGCATCAGGAGTTTGTACGACAAACTGTGGCGCAGCAAAATTCCGGACTATTTGCGAATGCTAGATTTGCAAAAACGCTGTCAAATACCATACACTGCGGTCAAAACTTTGAGCATTTTGACATTTCAAATAACACCAGCGTGTTTGTCGATCTGTTCTTTTTCAGTAAGCACCCTTTTATTTGTTGTTCTTTGCCTATATCGCACATAAATAACGTTTAGGTAAATGGTTGTACTCAGGGGCACATCCAGAGCCTTGGCAAGGGGGAGCACAGGGTTGGCAAAGGCCTCCTGATAATAAAAGGGCCTCCCAAATAAATCGCCGGATATGGCTCAACTGTTATTGAAAACGTGGTTTTTAGATATCATATATATACATATATATATATATATATATATATATATATATATATATATATATATATACCACATATATATGTGCGGTTCTCAGTCTGATTTGCCTGGGTTGTTCAGAGATAGCAAGGATTCTGCAAATATAGGTTGAAGATCAAAATGGGTCGACAGTTCGTATTTGCATGGCTTGGCCATGTTCGTCTTGATATGATCAACATTCAGTCAGCATCGATTAGTTGTACAAATTGCGTAAGTAGTTTTAAGCATGCGCGCTCTCATATCTTAGCAACAAAAACTCGACGCCAGGCGTCGCAGTCTCCAGGGGCCACGCAGCGTCAGTTCTGCGGTAATATTGGGCCGTGGGTAACAGGTGGGCGAAAATGGTGACACATCTGAAATAAGTACCTTTGAGTGGCTTAGGACACCAAACCGTACATGTGTAACTATTCCGGGCTTATATTTAACCTCCGTGGCTCTTAGATTGATGAGAATAACGTATTGGTCTCCATAGCAACGTGAAGCGGTGCTGGAATCTGGTGGTAGAAATGGAAGAGTAAAGGTAAAGTATACATTTTCCAAGTTTCTGTACCTGTTAACCTGTCCAGAGGACAACCACAAAGTTTTTAAAAGGATTCACCCAGTGTAATATTTGAAATGTGCGAATCAATTCTGAAAAACTCTCAGAAACATTATTTGCGATGGTCATTGTCACGTGCTCGTTACGCACCAGCTTAGCACGGCGCCCGTCGAATGGCGTTACTTGCAGCGGTCAACGCCGTTCGGATTTACAAAAACTGCAACTCAAGCCATCGCCACTCTTGCTCCCTGAAATTACGGGCGTGTCATTAAGGCTTTATGACACACTCAGCTGCTAAGGCTATATATGGCGTCGCCAGCCTGCCACCCCGGCGGGAAGGGCGGGTATCACGGGGAATCGAACCCCGTACCTATTGCTTCCCAGAGGTGCAGTGCTTAACGCAGGAGCGTTCACCACTACACTTTCGGCACTCGGCGCACAAGCTCAAGCCTATTGATGGTGCATGTTTCACTAAACGATTTTGCAAAATAATGGATGTTCTTAGAGAAACATGGGATGGCCTTGTGCGTCCTTAACTCATTTCGACCCACTCCATTCAACACTGTGAGACCCGTTATTTTCCGCAAAGGGGCCCACTCGAGTATGGCACCACAGGGCACATTGTTGTTCACGGTCAAGGACTGAAGGGCCATTCTGTCCCGCTGCAGTGTGCTTTCCGGCCGTCATTCTGGCGACGCAGAGCGGCATCCCGGTAGATCCGGAGGCCCTTAGACGGGCAGATCACATCACATTGATCCACTTTTGACGCGGGAGGCCTTCTGACCCGCGCATTTGACCCCGGATGGAAGCAGGAGCCTGCATTGGTGCACCAACATCCCTGCTCGCCGCAGGTGGTCAAATCATTGGCACATAGACTCCAGTTTGGCTTAACGGCCCCATGCCGGAATAGGTTTGGAGGCCCCACCATTCGGTTCTGGCGACCCTGACTGGCGTAGGACTCTTCTATTACCTCAATGTGAGCAGTCATCATAAGTTCCTACGTTTCTTTTAATAGTCAGAGGGCCTCGATCAACGTAAGAGGCCCTCTGCCATTCCGGCTCCCGTCCCCGTCCCCGTTGAGCGAATATTCCCCTAACCAATTCGAGGACCCTTGTTCACATAGAATGCCCCTTAGGCACTGTGGGCCCCGTAACGATACAGGAGCCCCGACCACCGTAAATCGTGGGCCCGGTCTTGTCTCGGCTTGGGAAATAGGTCTCCAGAGCTCAGACCAACAAGGAGCCCTGTTCGTTGTCCGCGATCTCTGGTCGAAGTAGAGGAACGCTCTGTGTCATGGATCCCTACCGGTGCAAAAGATAATTTTACTGGCATTTAAGATCACGGCCCAATGGACGGGGACTAGGGGCCAGTTTCTGCCAAGGGACCACTGTTCGGTACTGTGGCCCTTAACCGACATAGGAGCCCCCCATTGTGTCAGTAACCCCGACCATTGAAAATCGCAGACCCCAACCTCGTTTCTGCTTAGGAAATGGATCTCAAGGGCTCAGGCGAACTTGAAGCCGACTGTCCGGTGTTCGTGGTCTCCGACCGACTCAGCCACCCGTATTGTCGTAAGGTTCCTCAATCGGTTCAAGAGGACATCTGACTGATATTTCGGGTCATGGCCCTATCGGCCACGATTCTTTTTGTGATCTATAGCCAGTCCTTCGGGCTCTTATGGCCTCCAACCGGGCCTATGATGGTCGGTTCCGGTGGGCGGCCTGGGCCCCTCTTTGGGCCTCAACGAACTCTTTGTCGGCTCGGGGCCCTTGCAGGCACCGAGTCGTCTGTTGGGCGCTGTAGGCCTCTGACAGATACAGGGTCCCAAGCCAGTGTAAATCACAGACACCGGCTTTATAGCTGATTGGAAAGTGGGTCCTCAAGCTCACACGGGCATGGAGCCCACCGTGTGGTATGGCGGTACCCGACCAATATATAGGCCCATATCGACTCAGGCCCCCGTCGGCGTAAAGGACATTCCGGCCGATATTTGAGTGTCCGTCTTCGCAGGGCGGGGTCCCTGAATAAGACTCCGACCGGCCTTTATGCCCTCAGATCCTCCAGCCGTGTCCTTGATCGTCGGACTCTGTGGGCTCTTTAGACTGTGCGGGCCTCCTTGAACACTGCCTCTGGTAACCTCGGATCCCCTTGGCAATACAGAGCCCCTGTTAAACACTGCGGGGCTCCGGGCAATGTAAATCGCTGGTTCCGGCTTTGTTCCTGCTTGGAAAATGGGCCTTTAGACCCATGCTGTCATCGAGCCGACTGTGCGTTAATGGTGGTG